ATATATATATATATATATATATATATATATATATATATATATATATATATATATATATATATATATATTTAAAATTTAGTGCTGGAAGATTAAATATTAAATCGAAAAATTATATTAAAATATCGAAAACAAGAAATTAAGTGATACATTATAACGAAGAAGAAAAAGCAAAAAGCTATGTTAAATAGGAAAAAATATTAAATTAAAAATTAAGTAATGTATTAAAAGAATTTAAAAAATGAAATTATAATAAATTATATCAAATATACTCAATAATAATGATAATACTAACCATAGCCCAAATAGCTCCTTTAATTTTAATACCAATACCATTATCAAAATAAATTCGTACTCCTGTTTCAATTGTTAAAATAGCTTTCGTTTCGATTGTCAAATCACTTTGCACAAGATACGGTGAATTACGGTAATATAAAGTTATATTACTTGAATATACACCTGTAAATAAGATATGCATTTATATACATTTATAGGAATTTTATTTGTTGACAAAAAAAAATGAAAATAAATAATATGAGTATAAATAAGTAAGCAAAAAAAAAACAATAAACATGCAAACAGTAATTTAAATATTATTGTTACCATTTATACTAAGTAAATAAAATTACCATGCATATACTCTCTTTTTTTGTTTGTTTGTTTGTTTTTTAATCTCATTCATTTTATTTGCTTATTACTTTCAAATATTCCTTTATCTCATGAAATTTAATTTAATTTACTGAAAGAATAAATTCAAATGTAATAAAACATTAAATATGGAATGATTAATTTTTAATTTCTGTTTAATTATGTGATATTATTTGGGAAACATTTGTAAATCAAATGGAAAAAGGGAGGCATTTATTGAAAATTTCAGCGAATTTGGAAAAATTATTTATAAAATAAATTGAAATACGTGCGACACAAACAAATTTAATCATTTAAATTCATATTAATAAAATTGCTCAATGTTTTCGCAATCATAAAACGAATTTTGTCTTAAAATTTTGTTTTTTAGCTTTTTTCTTTCAAATTTTCTCATTTCATCATTTTTTATCAAATATTATTTTATCATAATTTCGTTTTAAAGTTCAGTGAAATGTCAAAGTAGCAATTAAACTTAAAAATTTCGCTCATGCTCATGAAATTTCCAACCAATTTCTGTTATTCCTAATGAAGTCATAAATAATACTTGTAGAATTCAAGTAGTTTTTCTTAGTTTAAAAAAGTGTAAAATTTATTTTAGGACATTCCATAACTTATTTGACAATACCTTTCAAAAAGTTCTAAAAAAATTAAATTTGGATAGAAATTAAATTTGTTTTGATTAAATTCCTAAATTACAAATAATTTTAATGGAACAATAATAAAGAAAAGAAAATAATTTCTTCCTGAAAGATCAATTTAATCAAAACATTAATTTATTAGCAAATTCGAAATTATTTGGCCGAAATATACCTTTCTAGTATTAATTCAAAAATAATTTAAATAGAATAGTTCTTTAAAAATAATTTAAAACCTTCATTTGACTGAAATACTTTGTTAGTATTAATTCAAATTAATTTAACTGAAACATTTCATCTGTATTAATTCAAAATTATTTAACTGAAATACTTCGTTAGTCAAAGTAATTTAACTGAAATACTTCGTTAGTCAAAGTAATTTAACTG